AGGTATAGTGTTTATCCACATGCTTAGCGTTAGTTACGTATATTGCTTTCACTATCGCTATACTCAAAACGTTATTTCACAAATTGACCAGCGAGATGGTACGGAGTCTTCATTGATATATATATATATATTTTTTTACATAATGAAGGAGTTAGCTAACCTAATTGCGCTTAGTCACTCCGTGCAGTTCCTTCAACCAAACCTTCTCCAACCAAAACGGTAGCAGATACAGCAAATTCTTATGGCGTTCACGATACATTCCGCTATGGACCTAGGTCTATAGAGGCCGAGATTTCACCAGCTCATCCTCTTGAAAATAGACTCAAACAGGTTTGAATTATTATTCTAATAAAATTCATAGTTAAGGATAGTAGATCTAGCTTTTGAATTCTGTTAACATTTGATAGTGGGAAGAGACACAAACAAATTTGAAGTTAAACATGCAAAGAAGAATCTATGGTATTCATGCACCAATTCGACATCTCATGGAACGAAGTATTGTGTCCAAGGTATGAACTTTTCTGTATTATAATTTATCATTAGTTTTTTGTTATGAGCGACAATTTTATCATTTTCAATTTTTTAGATGCAACGTTTACCAGGTTTACCATCATCTAATTTTGGATTGGAAATTTTGATGGGCAAAGATGAAACGATCGATTTTGAAGATTTTTTAAACGGCATGTTTCATTATTTTAATTTTTTTGTTAATAATTCATTTATAATAATTATTATTATAAATAATAGATCCAGAATTCTCAACTGATACGATAGATATACTTAAATAAATATTGTGATGACGCTTGAAGGAAAGTGTGCAAAGCCAAAAAAATTTTTAATGGGATGCTGACTATTTTAAATAAATATATATTTTTATTGATTGTTAAACTTTCAATTAACTATCGACAATGAAATTTCGAAACTGTTCATATGCTATATCCAAATTATCATTCACAATAATTATATCATGTGAACTCTCTTCCGCAGAGTAAGCCAATTCTTCTTTTGCAGCTTTAAGACGTGCTTGTATCGCTTCTTCAGAATTGATGGCGGTGCGACAAACAGGAAACGTGCGTTAAGATCTGTTTTTTTTACAGATTTAACACCCTATTAAATATATACGAATGTCGATGATATAAATATAAAAAAGTTGGTAAGCGGATAAAACAATATATTTTGAGAATACAATAAGAATTAATCACCTGTAATTCTATGTCCAGAATACAACATTTTCCTTCATCAGCAACAGCACGAACAGCGTCGATGCTTGTTCCATATAAATTATTCGAGAATTCAGTGTATTCTATAAATTTATTCTGTTTAATAAGTTCTTCAAACAGTTCACGTGATACAAAGTTATAGTGAACGCCGTTTTTTTCATTAGGACGAGGTGATCGTGTAGTATCTGTTGGTATAAACAATTCTATTTTTAATGACGAGAAAAAGTGTCTTAATTCTTTTAATATTTGACTCACGTGACACACTGAAACCGAATTTATTTGGATAGTCTTGAAAAAGACGTTTCAATAGTGTGGATTTACCCGATCCTAATCGCATTAAAATAATTCATTGTTGGATACTCAAATCGAGATGCTGCTGTATATGTTTGCAAATTTAATACTATACCAGATGGACCAGAAACCACTACAGGCCGAATTTTTTCTGTTTCTATAAAGCATGAATGAGAATATTATTACTCAAGACGACTCTATTAATCGAGTTATTTACTATTCATTTTACATTACCAGTTGACGCCATTTGTGCAAATTTTGTCGTTTTATGAAAAAAATTATTGAATAGATCGTTTAAATAGTTACCACTTGCCCTAATATTATTAAATTTGCGTAACATAATTTAGGTGTCACTATTTTTAGGTTACGTAGTCTAATGTTAAATTTTTAAAACAATGCAGGTGTAACGTCGCCTTTTTGTTTATTCATAAATTCATGCGATGTTGGTGAGTAAATTTACGATTTAAATATTGGGTGTGATCTATTAAAACAGCCCATTTTTAAATTTTTCAAAAATTTTTTTATTTGATTTTTGAATAGATATATATTCAATAAAAAAGTTTGTTTTAAGTTACCAAAG